TTGTAGATCACTTTGGGTAGTATAGACATCTTAACGATGTTGATTCTGCCGACCCACGAGCATGGTGTGGTTTTCCATGAAGACTCTCTTAACATTTCTTATGGCCAAAAGCACCCTCACCACGCCCCAAATCCATCTAGAACTGTCATTTGCAGAATCTCCGTGGCTTACACAGCACTAATGAGTCTGGCAAGACAGTTTTCGTAGCATCTGCCAAACCTTCAGCCCTGTTAAGAGTTACGCAGAAAAATAACAGATGTATAAGGTAAGTTTCCAGCTAGTAGTTGACTTCAAAGTTGGCTATGGCCAGGACATGGCCCTGAGGGTCCTGCCAAGATGGGAGGGCAGGGAGAGCAGAGAAGATCAGAGAAGCTTGACCCAGACACTGGGCCTGAAAGGCAACTGCCTCAGGGAAGAGCTTCTCACAGCTGGAACTGCCGACCTGTGTCCTCATCCTGGGTGGGCTGGCCCTGTGCTCCAGGTCCCAGGCTAACTCCACCAGTGCTGTCAGTGCAGTGACCCTGGAAGCTCTTGTCCTACAGATAGCCCTCTGCTACTGAGAGATGCAGTTATTCTATTTTACCTTTTATTTGATAAAGGAAAATTTGAGAAATCTCAATCTGTCCACAACACCTAAAACAACAGCTGCCCAGAGTAATCGACTGAGTAAAAAGCTGATTTTAAACTGCATTTTCTGTCACTACAGACACCAACCTGTTCCAAAGTCCACTGTGGTGTAGAGGCCCTGCAGGGCCCCACACTGCAGGAATTCTTCCTGCGCCCCGTCGGTGGTGAACAAAACCACGTCGTCACCCAGGTGGTAGCGGAAGCGCTTCAGCAGGAAACGCAGGTAATTATGATCGCAGGTAACATAGCTGCCATATTCATTTTCAACCTGCGAATCAGAAAAGAGGAGGCTGAGGCAGGAGCATCGCTTGAGCCCAGGAGTTCGAGGTTGCAGTGAGCTCTGTACTCCAGCCCCGGCAACTGAGTGAGACCCTGTCTCAAAAAAAAAAGAAAATAAAAGAAAAGAGGAGGGAAAAATTAGGAGATCCCAATGTAGCCATTCTAATGCAAGCTTTTGTTTAGGGAAAATATGTGAGCTTCATGATTGCCAGAAAAGTCTCCTTCGCTCAGACTGCAAAGCTCATTTTTCTAAAAAGCAGCTCAGCACGAAAGCTTACCTTGTACTAACCCTCTCCCACCACCCAGAAATAAGAGAAAGAAAACAAAATACACCAAATTAGTTTTTGGTTTGTAGTGATATTCTCCCTTATAGTAGATATTTTAAACATTATATAAATAATATGTTCCAATGGTA